GATAAAGCTGGTAGATTGACTACAACTCTACTTATTGTTTTGTTTATCATATATCATTAAGAGAATGAACTCTTTGACATAAGTGAGTTTTCTGGTTTGAATAAATGCTCAAACTCAATTTTAACCATTTGATTCTAACTTTTTATAAAATGTATTCTATGCTTTGTGCTTTTTTAGTTTATATCTACCATTTTTACGTAGATTATTGAGATCACAAACTTGTGACCAGAGACTGCATTCTTCCATATCTATATTAAGGTTAGGGGTTACTTTTCCTTGTTAGTGTGCTTGCCTCAAACAACTTTCTCTTTTACTTAAAGACCAAAACTGTTCGAATTGTATTCATAGTTAAAGATGAATACCAGCTGGAATGAGGATCTGAGGGACATAGGTTGTGTTTCTTTTTTGCTTTGTCAGTAGTATTTCAGTTAATTGAAGTTGTGAGTTAAGTGTTTTTTAATAAAATGAGGTGTTACTATACTCCACCTTTTTGGAGATGTTGAAAGTGACTTAGTACCTTATGACTTTATCTTCGTGTACTTCAGTTTGGGAATCATTGATCTAAAAATCTAAGCTTAGACCCTAGAGAATAGAATAGTTTTGTATTTATTTTGTTCTGTTGTAGGCTCAGGGCCACCAGCGTGGAGGGGAAAAGAATTTAATTTGCTTCTCTTCTAATGTTTCCCGTCTTAGTTTCCAGCTATTCAGAAACTTGAGTCACCCATATTTACTTAGATACCAACTTCAGCTGGTTCTCCCTCTATCAAATTGTTCTGCTCATTTCCATTACTACCATCCTACTCCAAATTACCTGAATTTCATCCTTGGGCAACACAGCTTCCTAGCTGGACTGCCAATGTACACTCTTGCCACCAAAGAGTCATTCTCTACACTGCAGCCAAAGTGAACTTCAAAGCAAATCTGATCATATCTCCTATTTCAAATCCTTGATTGCCCTTACAGTGGCAAAAGTCAAAATCCATTATAAGGTGTTCAAGATTTCTGCCTCTCTCCAGACCAGCCTAATCTCATACTGATCTCCTCCTTCCTCCCTCTGCTCCAGGTCCCAGTATTTACCTCTGCCACCTCAGCACCTTTGTTTTCACCTTCCTCTAGCCCAGGGTTTCTCAGCCTTGGCACTATTGACATTTGGGACCAGATTACTTCTTTGTTATGGGGGCAAAGATGGAGGATTGCAAGATAGTAGCATCCCTGGCCTCTACCCTTTAGATACCAGTAGCACCCCCAAGCCACAGTCATGACAACCAAAAATATCTCCAGACATTGCCAAATGGTCAGCTATGGAAGGTGAAGGGGAATTACCCCCACTTGAGAACCACCGATAGCCAGTTCTGACTTTGAATGTCAGATTACTTCCCTAGAAGTTCTTCTCTGAACCCCCAGACCTACTATACCCTACTCTAGCATGCTACTGTTCTTGATAAAAACCAGTATATATAGAGTTATATGGTCAATATCTGTTTTTTCCCACCAGGCTATAGTATCATAGAGCACAGTGACCACAGATGAATTCTTTAATAGATATGTGCCCAGTACCTAGCACATTCTGTAGGACAAAGTATCCTCTTAATAAATCAACCTGGAACAAGATAACATGCAAATAGATAATCCAATATATCATTAATGTTTTATCACACAGAGAGAAGAGTGACACCTACTATTGCATGCTGTTTAATGATGAAGTTCACACGTATGAACAAGTTATTTATACTCTTCAGAAAGCTGTTAACTGTACACAAAAAGAAGCCATTGGTTTTGCAACTACAGTAGATCGAGATGTGAGTAATTTTATCATATTGATACCACATAGTGAATTGAATTTTTACTATAGATAAGTTACCCCAGAAAATTGAGTTAAAGGTATATATATCTAGGCTTTTTAAAAATTTTCATTTGAATATTGGCCAAAATGTATTGGGTATAACTTAAGCTATTACCGGATAGAAAATTTAAGAGAAAATATACAGTTATCATCATTCTACCCAATGATTAAAAATACTCATTTATGAAAATGGAAATTATAGAAGCTTAGAAGAATAAATGTTGTGTCATTCAAGGAAATATACTTATTAATGGCTCAAAAAAGTTAGGATAGCTTTGAAGGAAAATTTTAATTTATTTTTCACT